CAGAAGTAAATTGAGCTTATTGTTACCTCACTGTGCAGGATGTATATGTACACCATTAATGCCCCGGCCACACGAGGACGAAAACGGTCGTTTGCGTTACTGTTTAGTGTCATATAGACCGTTCGGCCACACGAGGACGACCGAATACGGCACTAAACGACTGCGGAAACGATAACGGTTCCCAAGGTGGATAGAACGGCATACTCAACGCTCTGGGGGGTCCAACGGCTCCGTGTGTACGCCCTATACGATCATTTTCTGATAATGATGAGGCAATAGCCCCGCCTCTCCCCACCTCTGCTGCTCACCCCCGCGTCAAAGTAAACTGCCACACTGAATTCAGATTATTTCTCTTTTCTCTCGAGATGGACATAAACGCGAGTGAAGTCTAATCTGACAGGACGGAGACACCTCTCAAACTACCTAAACTAGTTATACATATATTTATTTTTTACTGTCGGCCGGGTCACTCATTACTGGATCAGCTGCTGCATGAAACAGACACTGACGCTGTCAGAGAGAGGGAGGAAAAAGAGAGGCTCCATGTATTTTATTATTATATTATATAGATTCGTTATTCATTTGTTTTAAAGCTCAATAAATAACAAAGAAGACCTTTGACCGGCACTTTTATAATTTTGTCCGGAAGATTTAAACTTTAATACACGTTAGGCTTGTTTGAGACGGGTTGCGGCTCGCCTCGAAAGTAGACGAGAGAGTAGCCGATCGCAGCCGGGGGAGGTCTCAAAAAGCTCGCCTGAAGTCGGACAGCTCGGAGTCGGCTTCGTCTTCTTCTCTCTCGGTTTTTTGGCGGATTGCAAACAACTTTGAGGTGCATACCGCCACCTCCAGAGTCGGCTTGACTCGGTTTGCATTTATAAAGAATGCACACATGTGTTTAATCGTTAATGTCAGATATGTACTAAGTAAATACATTTGTTCCTGCTCAAGATTAGATTCAACTTTATTGTTATTGCACATATTACAGGTACTGAGACAACGAAATGCAGTTTAGCTTCTAGCCAGGAGTGCAACAAGCAGTAAAGTGAAAAGTAATGTACACAATCTACAGAATAAAATATAGAATGAATTGAATGATGAATAAACAGTGAGGGGTATGAATACCCTAGATATACACAGCAGCCTGAGAGCAGTATGAACAGTGTGTATGAATATGCTAAGATATATAAAGTATGAAAACGGTAAGCAGTGCAAGTATAGTATAAAATATATGGATATTAATTTAATGATGATAAATATTGTGGAACAATGATGAAAAATGGGAATGGATGTGGCGACGTAAAACTGACACAAAACAACAACAAACTTTTGCCGAGCCAATTGGAGAGTTTCATCACCAGCACGGGGTAAAAACCACCAATGAGCGCTCAGCTCGAGATACCAGCGAGTCGTTTCCCATCAAGCATTTCGCTTCCGCAGCCCGTGGAGAGGAACTGCGCCGCCTCGCCGCGCCTCGCTCTCAAGGCTGCGGGCAGGCCCGGACTGGCCATCGGGAGGACCGGGAGGTTTCCCGATGGCCTGGCCTGTTAAGTGGCCTGCTGGCTTGAGGATTTTTTTTATGTATTGTGAACGCAACGCTGCGCAAATGTGGGTCTGACTCTGCCTCACAGAGGGTGACTGGCTGTCTACATGATGTGGCCTGCCGACATGGCCACTTTCATACAGATCATACACTAATGCCCTCGATTGGTCTCGTGTCATTCAAGCTCGGGAGGGTGTGTATGTGTGGCGCGAGCAAGCGAGAGAGAGAAAGCGCGTGCACTGGTTACGTGTATTGTTGTTGTTAGCATCCGGTGCTAGCTAGCGGCGCTAACGGAATGAGCTGTCAACAAGGTGGAGGAGAGTCCTCTGCTGTCAGACTGAGAGACTGATAACTACAGCTCAGGTGAGGTAAAGGACTTTAGAGTGTTTAGATAGTTAATTTAGTCTAAGTTCACTGTGGGTCTCAAACGGTTTGGTCACCATTTATGTAAACACATATTTCCATTTGAAGGGGGAGTGATTAGTAAAATATGCATGAATAATACAAATAAAATGTTAACTAGGTGAAAAAAGGTAAGGTAAACTTGTTGAGAGCTAAAACTAGTCTTTGCTGCTGCCTCAAAGAGGAGCAGGGGGAGAGGAGGGAGACAGGTGAGGCTGGTTCAGGAGCCCAGACACACTCACAACTATAAATGAACCAAAAACAAATAAATAAACAAGTTTCAATGTTTTTTCATATTGGATATGGTATGTTATTGGTTATGGCCATGTTCTTATGATTTTATGATTAGTTAAATATATACTGTTCTGTTTCATATGGGTGTAGTCTATTTATTTCCCCCTCAAAGTGCACCAGATTGATGCATGTAAGTCCAACATTTAAAAAAAAAAATCTTCCGCGGGGAGCATGCCCCCCGACCCCCCTAGAGGATTTGAGGTCCACCTCCACTTAAAATATGTTCACATGGATAGGTTCCTAAATAGATTTGCACTTTTAAAAAAAAATAGTAACCCATGTCCATTTATTCTGGGGTAGTTTTAAAGTTTATGGCTATCACTACGGGCAGCAACGCTGTAAATATTGACAAATAAATCCAGGAAAATTACACAAAATAAAACTGGTAGTGGCCTGGCTGGGTGTATAATTCCCGGCCTGACTTATTGTCCCAGTCCGGCCCTGGCTGCGGGCGTCTTTGTCCCGCGAGATTTCAACGTCTCATGTGGGCGAGCCTCCAGAGCAAGTCGGACAAAATGACTAACCATCATGCAACGCACTAGCAAGACGTTGATCGCAACTGCGCAGGTCTGCGCAGGTCTCGCTTGTCTCAAACAAGCCTGTTGACTGGCGAAAAACTCTGCCCGGTTCCCTCGGCCCCCACCGCGGAAAATAAACAGAAGGGCAACCATGACAACCATGCTTCTTCGCTGCTTTTGTGGAGGAAGTTACAGCGCCACGTACAGGCTCCTGCATATGTACTGCAGCTTCTCCAGCGGTTGGAGCTAAACGGAGCTGTCTCGTGTGGACAGACACTAGGCTTGTTTGAGACGCGTTGCGGCTCGCCTCGAAAGTAGACGAGAATAGCCGATCGCAGCCGGGGGAGGTCTCAAAAAGCTCGCCTGAAGTCGGACAGCTCGGAGTCGGCTTCGTCTTCTCTCGGTTTTTTGGCGGATTGCAAACAACTTTAAGGTGCATACCGCCACCTCCGGAGTCGGCTTGACTCGGTTTGCATTGATAAAGAATGCACACATGTGTTTAATCGTTAATGTCAGATATGTACTAAGTAAATACATTTGTTCCTGCTCAAGATTAGATTCAACTTTATTGTTATTGCACATATTACAGGTACTGAGACAACGAAATACAGTTTAGCTTCTAACCAGGAGTGCAACCAGCAGTGAAGTGAAAAGTAATGTACACAATAGACAGAATAAAATATAGAATTAATTGAATGATGAATAAACAGTGAGGGGTATGAATACACTAGATATCAGCCTGAGAGCAGTATGAACAGTGTGTATGAATGTGCTAAGATATATAAAGTATGAAAACGGTAAGCAGTGCAAGTATAGTATAAAATATATAGATATTAATGTCATGATGATAAACATTGTGGAACAATGATGAACAATGGGAATGGATGTGGCGACGTAAAACTGACACAAAACAACAACAAACTTTTGCTGAGCCAATTGGAGAGTTTCATCAGCAGCACGGGGTAAAAACCACCAATGAGCGCTCAGCTCGAGATATCAGCGAGTCGTTTCCCATCAAGCATTTCGCTTCCGCAGCCCGTGGAGAGGAACTGCGCCGCCTCGCCACGCCTCGCTCTCAAGGCTGCGGGCGTCTTTGTCCCGCGAGATTTCAACGTCTCATGTAGACGAGCCTCCAGAGCAAGTCGGACAAAATGACTAACCATCATGCAACGCACTAGCAAGACGTGATCACAACTGCGCAGGTCGCTTGTCTCAAACAAGCCTACTATCCGTGAATATTGCGTGTGGACGGAAGCTTTTTTGCGATTGCGTTTGCGTTAATCCTATGCGTTTAGCCGTTTTCGTCCTCCTGTGGCCGGGGCTAACACTCATGGTATATGAGGAATGTTTCTCAGTGATCAATTTAAATGTATCTGGATTTTTTACAGTAAGTTAAAAAGATAAGATGCAATTTAAAACAAAAAATGAAGCAACTTTAAACAAACTTGAAATAATTTATACATTTATTGAAAATTGGTCACTTATTTCTTACCAAGTCTTATTAGTATTTCATTCGCAATTGTTCTTTAAAATATTCTGAGGGTTGTGTTAGCAATCTGTTTGGAGATGTGTGTGTGAGAGAAACTCCTGCTGGAGGGAACTTTGGGATTGTAGATATATAACACCCTACAGGAGAGGGAAACGCCCAAATATAGGGCCTTTTTAAAAAACAGAAGGCTGTTTAGTGTTCACAGTGATACTTTATGTTTCTCAAGCATGAGTTATATTTAATTCCAACCACACCAATGTGGAAATATGAACAGATTGTTTTTTCTTGCATTTCAAACCGAAACTGTTACATATGCAGTATATAATGAGTTGTATATCGGTTTTCCACAAACAATCTCTAATGGAGTTTGGATTTTGGCAGTGCAACAGTATGAGAAGATTGACTGTATTTGTACTGTGTGGTTATTGTTCACTGCTCTGTGTGTTGACATCAAAGGAATGTCTTAACTTTTCGCCAACGCAGCAATATAAACCCTTGCTATTTGTATTTGTATTGAGTAAAAAGCCAAGTTCATGTAAAAAGAGATTTCACCACAGGGGCCCCAACTAACCATTTTTGGTAGAAAGAAATAGAGTCCACCATCTGACTGGCCGTATAAAAGTAACCCAGTCCTAAGACTACATTTCACCCTGTGCAGCACTACAGAAGCTATGTGTTTATTGGTGCGATGCAAAGAAGAAACCAGAGAACAGAAAAGAGGCGGAGGCGGAGGGTACTTTGGAATAGATGAGGATCATATGGTTCATGGTGATTTAAAGCTTTATTGGCTGCTTAAATTTCAATTACAACAAATGGCAGTGTGGGTTTTTCATTTATAAAACAGTACTTCCAAATACAGTTGATTCTCACATTGGGTGTTTTTATATTTGTTGGTTACTGTATTTTGGATACGGCACTAAAATATATTTAAGATTTGTACTTCCAATACATGTAAAGGGAATGTGTCTGGCCATGTTTATGAGAGCCTGAGAAGAGAGACATTTTATTTTTGTCAGGGTCAGATGAATGTTTGGATTGTACAGAAGCAAGGGGAGGGGACTGGCAATGTGTAGGGGTTTCCATGGAGATCTGGTAAAACAGTTGATGGGTCAGCTCACTGCTTTCCCTGTGGCTTTTTTATTTATTTTATTCAAAGACTCATTGAGCCGATCCTTGCGAACTTTGGGCAAAATCAGTTTCAGCCCAAGCGTTGGGAAAGCGGACACATGTTCAAGCTACGAGCATGGGCATTTGGTAATGGCGCCATGAGGTTCTACCGTACTTACAAAGTTCCACAGGAATCAACAGCAACAAATAGTAGGAAGAAACAAGCAAGAAAGAAAGGAAAGCAGTTCCACTCGAAGCAAAGCAAGAAGTAAAACAAGCGCAGTCAAACCAAATAACATGAACCTATTTATCAATCATTCTCATTCTTTGTCATTTTTGAACATGGAAAAGATTCCTTGATTCCTGTGCAAATCTAACTGGACAAATCCTTCAGCTCACAGTCTCAGGAAGCTTCAGAGCAACACAAAAAGTTCAGTCCATCTTGTGACTTCCTTGAATTATGCCAGGATAAAAAAAAAATCATCCAGAAGAAAAAGGAAATAAACCCAAAAACCTACATCTAGATTACAGTTTGTTGTGTGCTATCTGGATGAATGTACAGTATGTGCATGCTGCTCTGAGTGCTAGAAGAGCTTGGCCTTCTTTTTCATGTTGTTGCGTTTCCACAGGGGAAGCCTGTCAAACTCCTGGACCTCCATTCCAAAGATGTCAAAGAACAATTCGGGTGCTAAGTGGCGCTAGAAATTGAGAACAAAGGTGGAGAAAACAAAGGAGGGGAGGGGGGAGGGGGAGGGAGGGAGGGGAGTGTTCGTGGTTAGCACCAAAGCCACACAAAAAAAGGTTCCCACAGCAAAAATGACAAGAAGCAATGGATGCACATTCCTTGATACAAATTGTATTTGTGTAACATTGTCATTTACAAAAGTAGAGAAATCTAGTATCAATTGCGGACAATCAGGTGGAAATCTGATACCTCCAGTCTGGTTCTGTCCACATCCCTGGGCAGTTTAGCTCTCCCTCTACTGGTTATCATGAGCATTTCATAGGGATACACCTTCAGAAGGAGACACCGAGTCAGTGAACACGTCAAAACTACAGGCTAGAGTTAAGCTTCACAGACCATTTAAATCCGACAAAAGGAATAAAATGTGAATATTGTGTGTAGTTCTGATTGTGACAGAGGGAACAGTGGGTGGGAGTGAGAGGAGGCTGACTGGGATTGAGAGCCGTTGTTAGGTTGTTGAGGAGAAATGCAGGTGCTGTGGTGTGCACACTTTTGTTGTTGTACAAACGTGCATAGATTAGGCAAGGGCAAAAACATGAAAACAGAGTTATTTAACAGCTGTATTTATTAAGTTATTTACCGCAAACACAATAATGTAGGCTAAGTAAATCCACACGGGAATGATTGTCCTGGAAACTGAGGTACTTGTACTTTTTCTAAATAACTAATCCCCTCCTGAATCTGGCAAATGGTTGTTGTTTATTTAGCTGAAATGCTCAATAATAAACAACTAGAAATTATTTGTGACCAACTCATATCCACACAGTTATGTAAAATGTCTTATATACTATGCAGTATATAGTGATATGAGTTGTTTGGATGACAATATATGCGTTTGGAATCTCCACTGTATGCTGCATACAGTATCCAGCCTCTTTAAATCAGAGCTATGTGCAGATGAGCATGGGGAAGCCAGCATGGAGAGCCAGCATGCTAAGCGTGACTCAGCTCCAGAAGCAGCATGCTAAATCAGAAATGTGAGTCTTTCACCTCCAGTAAAAAAAACTCTTTTAGTTCCCTATTTCTTCCACCAATGTCCCCGCCCTACAAGGCTAAATACAACTTCATCTTCCTGTTTTGGGCTGGTCTCTTTGTTTGAAAGTGTGGTTAGTCTATATCTAAATTAGTTGAAAATGTCTCCTGGTTTGGCTAAATGCTCTAAAAGGGGCTAGTGGGGTTATATGAGGTACTTACCGACCGATG